CTGTGGAGAGGAGGAGGGGAGAAGGGAGAAGGAGAGAGGGGGAAAATCGTGCTGTGAGAAGGAGGAGGGGAGAAGAGAGGTGGTTGGAGAAGGAGGAGGGGAGAAAGAGAGGTGTGGAGAAGGAGGAGGGGGGCAGAAAGTGGAGAAAAGGTGGTGGAGGAGGGGGTAGAAGTTGCGCGGTGTGGGAACGGAGCGCAGCGGGCAGAAGCTGTGGAGACAGGAGGAAAGGGAGAAGGAGGGGAAGAAGGGAGGCTGGTGAGAGAGGGAGGGGCAAGGGGAGAAGCTGATGGAGGAAAGGCAGAGGAGGGGGAGAAGGGGAGAAGGTGGTGAGAAGGAAGGAGGGTAAAGAAGCATGTGGAAGAAGGAGGGAGGGGGAGAACTGGTGGGAATGAAGGAAAGGAGTAGAAGGAGGTCTCATTATCCAGCGCTACTGCGCATGCGTCACGCATGCACACGAGGTGCTAGGGGTAATTTCAGACTGGGGGTAATCTCAGACCGTGACACCGGCACAACACACATTTACATTGTTTACCCGAGTGGTGCAAGCTATATTCAGTCAGTTCTGTATTGACATTTAGCTACTTATCTAATGACTTATTTAACTGAGCATTCAGAGACAGTCAGAAATAAAAACATCTATACCATCTTCAAAAATTTACAAAATAGTGTAGCATTTCTTTCAGTTAATGCTAGCTACTGTTAGAGCAATATAAAATAATATTGTGATGTTAATATAAATACTAACAAACACTGGGTAACGGAAAGGTGAGGTTAATGTATGCGTAAACTGTGGGTGATTGCAGAAACCTGTATTTGAAAATTAGTTACATGCTAGTCAAATAGCACCTGTAATATGTGATCATACCTTGCATCTTCAGTGAAAGTTATAATCAAAGGGGACAGAAACGTAGGCAAGTCATGCTTATTCTATCGACTCCAAGGAGAGAAATTTAAAGAAGAATACATCCCAACTCAGGAAATTCAGGTATAAGTTTCAACGCAGAGTAATAGACCTCTCTCAGGTTACACATAGTATACCACCTGTGTCTCACAAGTTAATACTTCATCAGACTAGTGCACACTAAGTGTTGATAGCCCAAGGCAGAAATTGGAAGGCTTGAGTAAAAATGGCCGCCGTGTGCAGTTGGAGTCTGCTCGCAGAATATAAAATTACCGGTGGCTGGCTGTATTGCGCTGAAGGCTACTCTATATTGTAGTGTTTATAATATGACATTTTTTCAGCCCACACAGTTTTTTGTTGCCTCCATGGAAAGGTGGATATTTTGTATAGGGGCACTAATGGATCGCTGTAATCTGACTGTAGGTGGCTAGTATTCAATGGAACTACAAGGCAACGGATGACATAGTAAAGGTGGAAGTGTGGGATGTAGTGGATAAAGGCAAGAAACGAACAGTCAATGATGCTCTCAAACTGGATAATACCACACAAACACAAGTATGTTGTAACTGATTTTGTTTCATTTATTTATATTTATTGTGACATGTAGTAAATGTATTCAGTAAGTAACATTTGCTCGATAGGCTAATTACTATGTTGATGGTTAGCATTAAGTTACATGCTGATGTTCTTGTGTAAGCATTCAGAATTCTGCCCCTCTGTTATGTTCAGGCTACAGAAGAGCCAGTGCTGGACGCTGAATTCCTAGACGTTTATAAAGGAACCAATGGAGTTATCATGATGATGGACATCACAAAGCTGTGGTAAGATACGCACTTATGTGCGGGGTTCGAAAGTAAGGGCGGCAAGAAATTCCTAGTGAACCGAAGTAAATACACTAAAGTTACTCGTAATTTCTGTTAAAATGATGGCCAGGTGTGCAGGGTTGTTTTCTGACCTCTGACCTTAAATCCTCTTGACCCTACATTATCGTCCATACTTCATTCGATGTGCAACTTGGGTTAAGCATAGGTGACTGTAATTAGAATGAATGAATCAGGGGAAACAGGGCTAGAAGTCCAAATAACCTTCCTCATGGACAAGCAATAGCACTATATCGTTGGGGTGAAAGGGAGTGAAACTGATTGTGTGTGCTTTGGGTTGCTGTGCGTGGGTGAGTGAGTTTGCTGTGTGTTTTTTATCTCTGGAAGTAAGTATTTGCTGCCTGGAAAATAGTTAATTTCTAATGCTCATGTGTACACATGTTGCAAGTCACATTATCAGGTAAATTGAATAATTGGACATGATGAATTAACCAAGTGACTGAGACAGAATTGGGTCTTTTCTTCACCTTCTATAGTTCAATTAAATGAATAGAGATATTTGTGAATTTTAGAGATCTTTCATATAATATCATTCAGATAATATTTTGCTGTTGTGTAACCTTTAAACATATCATTTTGATTAATTCAACATTTTTTAATCATTTTCTTTGATAGGACCTTTGATTACATACAGAGAGAATTGCCAAAAGTACCAAATCATATTCCAGTCCTGGTTTTGGCAAATCATAGGGACATGGGTCATCACCGAGTGATAGAACCTGATTCGGTGTCTTACGCCATTGAAAATTTAGGAAGGTGCGTACAATATGCAATGTATTAATATTACAACTAAGATGCGCAATACAATCTGTAATGTGCCGGTATTGGAGTTTTATGTACTTTATTACCGTACGATTTTCTTGCCGTGTGTTTAGACCACCAGGATCGGCAGAAGTCAGGTATGCAGAAGCTTCCATGAGAAACAGCTATGGACTTAAATTTCTACACAGGTTTTTCAACATACCCTTTCTAAATCTGCAGGTAAACCTACTTCACTTTGTTTCACAGTATGAATCCTTAACTTGCCATTAATAGGCATTTTATCATGTGCAATGTCCCACTGTTAATTTCATTATTAAAAAAGATGCTATTTATTGTAACACTGGATTCATGCACCCTGCTTTACTAATATGTCATGCCTAATTTGTATATAAACCAAGATATCAGTGAGTAAATATGCAAAAAGTGAATATTTTCTCTGTATGTCGTAAAAAATGATCAAATGAATTAGTGCAAAAAGTAGTAGATCATTCTATTGAGTATCGTTTACTATAAATACAGCTTTTGATGCCCAATGATGTTGTTCTGCAACTAATCTGAATGCCACTGTGTTGTCTAGTGGAATGTTGTAATATAGAGTTGGGAATGATGTAGGCGTGTGTGGTTTGCGTGTTACAGCGGCAAACCCTACTACAGCAGCTTGAGGTTAATGAGAGAGACATGAAGTCGACGTTGTCAGAACTGGACATTCACCTGGAGAGCGAGGAGCAAGACTATGACTTGTGAGTTATATTGAAGCTGCCGACAGTAAATTTAAACGATTAGCAAATGGATATTAAAGAATAATTGTGACTATTTCAATGAAAAATTGACATGTTTGAATGGTAAGCAATTCATTCTGTTCTTGAAGCTTTATTGTTTATTGCCACATTATAAAACGGTACAAAACTTGTAAACAAGATGTTAAATACTAATTCTGTATCATGTTTCATTATTCTTGAATGTCTTTGGTGATTGTTAGTGAAACCGTAATGTTTAATAATGGTGTGACTATGTATATTTTTGAAGATTCTTGGCAAGCATGACTGCCAAGCGAAGAGAGAATGCTGACAAGTTAGGTCATGAAGCTGTGGATCATCCAAATGGATTAGTGATTGGTGCCTCTTCTGGTGATTATAAAAGTGCTTATTGCCATAATAGTAACATGTGCTACTGCAGCAAAATAATGGCACAATTGCATGTTAATTTATTGGTACTATGTTAAACTTGGACCATCGAGAGGGAGATGCAGATGTGTGACCTGTCATGGGACACGCTGAGGCCAGTAGCAGCGGACCGACGACATTGGAGATCTCTTGTCACTGCCTTATGTGCCATCTAAGCACCTACGAGGGATAACTAACGTTAAACTTAAATGAATTCTAGCACATCTGCCTCAAGGCACTGTGCAGACCATTAGGCATGATGTGTATTTTGTATTTTTGGCCAAGTAGGTGTTTCTTCAACGTCCACATCGCCAGCGCAGTCTTTGTCTTCAAAGCCCGATGAGGTACCTTCCGATGAGAAGACACCGTCTTCCACCCAGCCTTCTCAAGCTGTCGTTCGGCCCTCGGTCACTCTAACAACGGCACCCGCAACCACACTCATCACAGCAGCGGCATCGACAGCTAACCAGCCTGTGCTGGTTCCACCTGCTGTGAAGGCAATGTCCAAGCCAGCAGAGAAGTCTAGCGGTGGCTTCATTTCCAAGTTCTTTGGTGGCAGTAGCAAACAGCAGAAAGCAGAGGAGCCGCAGGAGACAGCGCAAAGCAGTGAGAAGTCTAAATTCTTATTATTACAATTTAGATATATAATGTAAAATAACCTTTATGTATGAATATATATATAAATATATATCATGTTTTGTTATTTCGGTTTCAGTAGATAGATATTTTTGAAATAGCGTAGTTTTTAGCTCATCTGACATAGTCAGATGCAGCTTGTAGAATCGCATGATCGTCTGTGCGAGCGTCCGTCCGTGCGTCCGTCAACAGTTGGGCACAAATCTTAACCGCTCGACGTACGGTCACGATATTCGGGACGTTGGGGGGAATCGTCAAAACGAGTTGGGATATCGAAGCTGGGGGCCAAAGGTCAAAGGTCAAGAGGTGTAAAAGAAGGGGGAACATTCCCTCCTTAACTTAAGGTATAGGGAGGAAATGCAGAATTGCGGCACAAATCTAAACGGCTCGACCTAGGCTCGTGATAGTCGGTGTATTGCATCATGGTAGGAAAAGCCATCACTTTGCTGAAATTGGAGGTCACAGGTCAAAGGTCAATGGGGCACAGGGAAGATTTTAGACATTTTCTGAGGACATGGTCTGACGTAGCGATTGAAAAACTTTTTTGTTTCAGCAGTGACCTAGCATTTTTATGGCTTCATTGAAAGGACCATGAAATGTACTTTCTGCTGACATGCGAATAGTAAGTGTCGGATAACCTTTTGACCCTCAAGAGGAGGGTTAAACATGGATTTGTTGACTGTTAACAAAGGACTGAACTGCTTTTGCCATTGTGGATGTGAGGCTACAGTTGCACAGTTCAATTGCAAAGGCAAATGTTTGTTGAACAAGGTTTACGCTCCTTAAATCATATTATTTTCTAAAGCAGTCTGTATTAGCAACCTGAGTAGCACCCTGTAATAGCAGACTGTAATGAACCCTGAATGCTCGTGTGTGTAGGCAAAAACATGGGGGCAGCCCATTACGCATGCATGGGGGTAAACTGGCACTATTCTAATCATAATTATTGCCTGGCAACCTGCAATGCAGATGTATTAACTCACAGCTGAGCGAAATTCTCGCCTGCCTGAATATACTGGGATTTCAGCAACTCAATGGAGTGAGGTTATCACGCACGAGGGTGATGCCATCTTTGATTATTGATGACACTTGCACGCGCCATCTCGCGGCAACTGCTTTTGCTATTAGAGCCCCTTCCACCTGCCCCCTGCCCCCACTCTCCCCCCACCACCACCACTACGCTCACTCTCGACGCATATCCATGATAAAATGTTAATATAGCGAAGTCATTAAAGTTACACAGCTGTATCTTTATTACTGTACTACCGGTATAGCAAAGCCTAGCTATCATAGATTTTAGATCTGTATTAGTAGTATCCTAGATATATGCTCTGAGCGCGAACGCGGTGATGGGAGGGTGCTCTTCATTTGTTTGCCAGTGAGTTTAGCATCAGAACACCTGCCGTCAGGTGAGCGCTGTCGCTCTGCGGCACTTGTTAGTATTTGAGAGTTGTACATTTCTGCGGGGACATACTTTTAAATAGGTTCGAAGATAAAGTGAAAGTTATTGTTAACCTATTACTTATTTTACATTTTGTAGGCACTGCTAGTAGCAGCATAACGTCACCAACATTCACTAGCATAGACGATTTTGTTCCTGAGGAAGCCTTGGATGCAGCTTTTTTGGCTGATACAAAACCTGTCCATGTAGACAAGGATAACTACGAGGATAGTGACAGGTAATGCAAGTGACAGTTGCTAATAGAGTGCATCTGTCGTGAAATTCTGAAATTCTTGTTGCTTTTTGTGATTGCAATATTGTTTTACGTGTTTCAGTGATGGTGGTACGACAGCCAATCCAATGGTAGCTGGCTACCAAGATGACTTTGACCCTGAGGACAGTATTGTCACGTCATTGCCAACTTTTTCCACATCAACTCAGGCTATAGAACTATCGAGTGACGACGATGAGGTCCCCGCAGCGCCGGTAAGAACGTCCACTCATTCACTTTTAAAAAAGTTTACCTCTGTTTACTTCATTATTAGTGTTGCGGTTCTCCACTGTTTTGATCATCTCTTTTGGTTATCTGTTACAGCTGATGCTACCCTGCTAATCCTTTCCTCTTTAATCTCACTTAATTATGTGTTAATCTTTATCATTAGATATATTAATATTATTATATAGTTATTATATTATTATTTACTGTCATACTGCAATATTATTTCTAGGTATTATCATTACATAATATTTATATATAATATAACAGTATCATTATAAAATTGCTAATCTTGTTAAAGAGTGAATGCAATTAATGCGAAGTATTTTGATATAATGGAATTATTTATCTACAGGCTGTCTCCAGCGATAGTGAGGACATGGGAAGTCGCCCCATTGTAACTGCCTGCACAGAAGACATTTCTAATGAAGATCTTACTTTGGCAAAGGCTAGTGTTCTTGCTGATTCATCTGAGCATTTAATCTTGCAGTTAGATTAATATTAAGAGCCTGTTAACATGGGTGTAGCTAATGTAATTTGGCTCTCAAATACATACCAAAATTGCATTTTGCATTATCTGTTTGTATAAAATCGTGAAAGAGTAGTTCCAGTGAATTTATGAAATTGTGGTAGCTCGAACAAGTATTTCTTGTTGGGGTAATATCAGTGATTAGCAACTGATTTTGTATTTATCTGTCTATTCAGAAGAGCAGCATCACTCTCACAACTGATGAAGAAGATGGAGGGAAAACTCAGCAGAAAGAAGCTGTCGTCGGGGATGCTACTGCACTTGATGCATTGCAGGATTTTCTTGGTGCTAGCGCAGTGCCAGAACCTCCAAGTAGCACAAACGCAAGTAGTGCTGTTGCCTACAAAGGGATGGAGTTTGAAGATCTGAGTTACCTTGAGAAAAGATCTACATCCACTCCCAGTGAGCATCTCCTCTTTCATTTTTATATCATCCCAATTTTTGTTTAATGATTTTTTTGATATAGGTAATGTGTTCCATATTTTGTTTTTCATTTACTAGGCTGTTGGTAATATCTGTACCAGTAATACCAGTATACAGTAATACCATGGTAAACGTGTGGGTAATATCTGCATGACATGTTTCAACACAGTGATAATTGCATTTCTGCTCGTTTGCTTCTAGTCACCAGCAGTAAGACATCATCTGTGAGTGAGAACCAGCATGGATCAAATGAGAATGAGGAGAACGCATCTGATGTGGATGCTACTACTGAGAAGAGGAGAAAACACAAACACAAGACCAAATCAAAGGAGGTAAGAGTCTGTACCAGCAAATGCAATTGCAGCCTTTGCTCTTTACTATTACTGATAGATGCTGGAAATTCATTTGCTGAGTAGCAGTTACATACTTTGTCTTGGCCTGATATCAGGAGTCTATCAATAGGAGTAAGAAAAACTAAAACCGGCAAAATTCAACATTTAGTAGCCTTAGTCTGCCTATGATTTATTGTGTTTAACTCGATAAACTTGAGTTCAAGTGTTACCTTAATCATTAAACTAATTCCGTGTCTAATCGTTGGTCTCACAAAAATGACAAATCGGGAGATATCAGTTCAAACATACAATGTGGTTTTAGCAATTTATACCACATTGTAAACAACAGTGGCGGTAACTCAGCTGAAACAAAGGGCAACGCTATTGAATCGCCCTCTACCGCAGAGCAATGCGAACAACTAGCGAGGTTCGCCAGGGATTTCGGAAAATTAAAAACGACTTGGTGTTATACAATAAATCATAGGTAGACTAAGGCTACTAAATGTTGAATTTTGCCGGTTTTAGTCTGTCTTACTCCTATTGATAGACTCCTGCTGACATCATGCGGAAAAAACATGTGTTCACACACCACTCGTCACTCAGTTGAAAAGAGCTACAATATTACACGGTTACAGAGTTAGTACTTCAGCATAGATGGATATTAGACTATATGAACAGCACTGTTATGTGCGTGTATAGCAAACGTGTAATCCTAGCACCGTCTGAGCATTTAAATAACAGGTACATGGAAGTTGCAGTAGAAATAAAACAACATTACAAGACTGCAATCGTTTTCTTCATTCATATACATATAGCTGTGTTTTTATAGGATGGACAGAAATTGCATAAGAAGAAGAATAAACACAAAAGCAAAAGCAAGGTTAAGGAGGTGGAGGCTGTTGGCAAAAAAGAAACAGCAAAGAAGAAGAAGTCGAAGGCGAAGGATGAGACAAATGAAGATGCTGACTTAGAGCGGTTCCTATCAGGAGATGTATCAGAGCCATATGAGACACTGTAGCATACGACCTTCAGCCTGACCCTGCAGCAGCAGATACTGATAGCTACGAAGGACCTGTATCTCGTGCTTGTGCTTATCGATCAGGACACGTGAACTGTTGCAAGCTGATCATTTAGACGTGTGCACATGAAGTTCCAACGAAATGAGGTGTGATTATTTATTATATTTTTTATTTTCGAGAAGTGTTAAATTTGTATAATTTAAAATTACCTACAAAGATACTATATATGAAAAACTATATATATATATATATATATATATATATATATATATATATATATATATATTACTTTATTTCACAAACATTTTGCCAGTTTAAGTGTTTAAGTGTGGAACTAATAGCTGATCACAGACTCCTTCACATGTGAGATTGTGTCGGAATGCCTGTGGTCTCTGCATCACTTAGAAATACGATTCCGTCTTCAATAGCAAGACTAATGTTACTGATTAGCAACTTTTGTGTGGTCGTGGTAGGTCTTATATTAAATAAGAAATATGGTGAACGGTAATAAATTGAGACATATTTCCCAGAAGACTATTGAGACCTGGCGACTAAATTTTATTTCTGTTACGATGTAAATAATGTATATACATATACATATGTTTATATGTTTACACATTTTGTGTACACATAAGAAGCTGTGCTGCTTGCACTTGTTTAAAATAATTTATTTTAGACCTTCTTTGTAACTTACATGGAATAAGTTGAATGTGAATGGTTACTGACATAAATTGATTGCTTATTAATTCTTTTAATATATCTGTGTTATGTATAATATAATTGAAAAGCGTGCAGAAGAAAAAGTAGAAGTTATTCTGTTAGCCAGTTTATGTAAACCATTTTAATTGGAATAATGGTTCGGGTTGTGAATGTGTTGCGCAGTTCTTGTTAGTAGAGTTCTACTTTCAGTCACCGTTCAAACAGAAAAGTGTCCTGCCAAGTAATGCCCTCGTGAACTTGTTAATTGTACATTTTTGTGATGTATCGTGCCAAGATGTCGTATAGGTAATCACTTATCAGTTGTAACGTGCTGAATTATTCTCCAGCTAATGTCAGATTCCTGCCTATGAGCATGACTCGTTATTTTAAATAGGAAACAAAACAAGCATGCATTATACCACGTCGTTCTAGATGGTGGGAGGGCAAACTTTGGAATAATGGCGAGAATTGGGATGATAAGCCAATACGTATGTGAACTAGTTGTCATCTCGTCCTCCACAATACAGCAGGGTGGGATGGAAGAAAGGCAATTCCATGTGATAAGCTTATTAAACCAGTCAATTGGATATGACGAATAGGTCATGGTCATGGCACACGCGCATAACGTAATTATCCTGCTATGCATGAAGTTTCCAGCTACATTTTATTCAGAACATCCTTGATTAATTGTAAGTGTGATCGTAAAAATCGCAAAAATCGCACGCATTTTATTAAATGTCTTAATGTTCTTGTATTTTCAGCGGTGAATTTACGTTTTACAGCAAGAAGTGAGGTTGTTAACAAAAGAAACGGCAACTAAACTTTAGGTCGTTACTAACACATAGTGAAATTTTCAGAGAAATTTCTGTAATTTGTAAAAACACAGGCAGAGATGTTTTAACCCGACCTCGATATGCATGTGTGTATATTTCTTTTGTGTGGATTTGATGGTTCAATAAAAGGAAAATATAACTGTAGCTATTCTCTTAGAGTGATCGTATAATTTCTATATAATTCTTCTATGGGTTCTAGTTATGGCAAAAGACAACTTACTCGCTCTGTGCACTGTTTCAACTTTCGTTTTAATCGGTGGCGTCGTCGCTGCTGCTGCTGCTGCTGGTGTTATTGTCGCTGTTGTTGTCTTATCAGAAGCATATGCAGGCAATACAAGGACACAGTAAGATGTGCACAACTTTGGTTTACTGAGACTTCAAAACAGCATTTACATTATACTTTATATTTGATTATAATGTGACTAGACACAGGGGTAACTACATCACAATACACACAATTACTCGAGTTGTTTGTGGCCAGCAAAGCTGCTACTACGGATGAATTGCTTTCGTTAATTTTGTTATTATATGGTATTATATTGTTATTATATGGTATTTGCGTTGTGGCACGAGCATGAAGAATATGACATGCGATATGAGCTATGTGGCCTTCATTTAATCCTCATATCTGCTCTATCCGAGCAGTGCCAGTGGAAAGCGTTTTGCTGTTAGTTGTCTGGATTTGCGTGACCCATCATAGAAGTTCACTCTGTTCAATACCGAGGTATGGTGAATATAAATTCACTGACACGTAAGCTATCGAATAACATAGTTCGTAATATATAAATATATATGTATATTATATAACAATATGAATCAGGACCCCCCAAACAGAATACTGCATAAATAACCGATATCACAAGTGAAAAGCCGACAGTTTGTATAGAAAACTGCCAAAAGAAAAACGTAAAATAAATTACTCTAATGCCACACATACAGGTACTTCTTTGGCTAGCTACGTGACGCAATCGCCTGCAGTCAGTAACGAATACATTGCACCTGGCTTTTACCTGATGATATACAGCCACTTGGCGTGACTAGCAATATTTGTTTCTGCTCGCCGCAACTGCTCCGCTAGCTTACAGCGGAATCGGCCGAGGCGTGGAGGAGATATAAGAGCATAAAGCATCCTCAAGCACGAACTTACATATCGATACTTCACGGCATTTGATTCCCGCGGGCTCTAACAGCAAGCCTGAGCGACCGCGCCTGACGGTGCGCCGCGCATGGGGTGTGAGAGGCTGCCATCACCAGCTGAGAACCCCTCGGGGATCGTGGGTGCCTTTTGGCGGCGCCTCTTTGTATCGCTTCTGCGGGCGATCGCCCTCCTGAGCAACTTCGCTGTCGGCCAACTCTCTGTTTAGTTTCACCTCCTCGGCCAACCAATGGACGAGTTTCTCGGAGAAATGGAAGCCCTCTCCCTGGAGCGACTTGTAGAGCTCACTGAGAAACCCCTCATCTGGTGGCGACGCGTCAGAGATGAATGCATTCCTGTGCATGCAACGCACCTTGCCAGCTTTCTCCTTGTAAGTCTTTTTGAACTCGCCCAATGCCTTTTGGTACTCAGAGGTTCCGTAGATCCACAGACCGAGGTGAAGTTGAGCGGGAAAGAGCTCATTCAGCAGCGCTGGATTCATGACTTTACTATTAGCACCTGCGCAAAAGCCAACAATAATTCGTACGTTATGGTAATTATAGTGAGAAACCTGAACAGTGCTGGTTCCTGCTAGTTTACCTGTTCAAAGATGCATGCAAGAACACTGGGAAAGAACTCCGGTAGCATACGTAGCTAGGCGGACAGCGGTCGCTAAATATAGCGCATTACGTAATGCATCCACCGATACCGGAAGAAATCGAGGCACAAATAACGCGTAATAATAACGGTGGATCGAACTTTGTCGCCAGCAAGTCTGCAGTAGCACAGCAAGGCGTGTAATTGCGTTAAATTTCGGACCTGGATAACATCATCGCGCCTTATTTTACCGCTTAAAATTTTGATAAAATAAATTTGATGGGGTATTATTGTGCTAACATATGTTTACACACATCCCAGCACGCAGGCAATTAATAATAGCAATTAATGAGTAACCGCTATATTAATTGCAGTAACGTACGTGTTTGAAAACAATTTGTAAATACAACACTCACAGGTCACTATATGTGGTTCACAAGGGCTTGAACCAGTGGATCACCAGGCCCAGTGCGGATGCCCGAAGCATCTCCCACGCCCTGTGTGATTCCCTCTAACCCTCTCCCTGAGCCTTGGAACCCATGAACTCATCCCAAGGTCATTATATCGATGACATCCAAACCCTTTCCCTCGGCCCTGTGGAACACCCAACCCATCTCCTGGCCATTTGGAACACACTAACCCGCTTCCAGCTCTGCGGGATATACCCGAACCCCTCGCAGCCCTGTAGCCCCCCCTCCCTCACGGTCCCGTGGAAAATTCGAATCGCCTCCCCGGCGATGCAAGGAATTCTCCAACCTTCTCCCAAGGCCACGTGTGGAACATCCGAACTGTCTCGTTATAGAGAAAGCATCTTCAACAGCCTTCGTCAGGGGCACACCACTATATGTATGAGTTGTTACGCAACCAGGCCGAGTACACATGCACTAGCTGGGTAAGGGGGTGTAGAGAGAGATGGAGAGATTCATAGCATGACTGTTTCTATACGGAAATGACCCTTAGACCATCTGTTCTGTCTCACCTGTCTATACACCCACACCACACCACGTCTATATACGTCACACACAACATCCTCCACTACACTACACCGTACTACAGTACACTACAGAGTTGAAACGTCAATAAATGAGTCATATCGGCCAGCTTACCCGATGTATCAATAATCACAATAGCTCTGTCTCCGGGCTTGGCGGTTCCAAGTAGGTCGTTGACATTCGACCTAACGACGTCAGCTGTCCACATAGCACAGTCGACGGGGGACTGTGCGTAACACATGTATGCTACAGGAGTCATCTCTCCTTCTACGTGCACCTCTCCCACCTGCCTCTGAAATGCAAATGCGCGCCCGATATGTGGACGGGAGTGTCTATATTCAGGCCGGTACGGGAGATTACGGTACGCATATATTTGCTAATATATTGACTAATCGCGCGTCAATAAACTCAATATTCACAGAGAGTATAGCTAAGACATGTGTCTATAGGTATCTAGACTATATTATGCAAATGATCTCCCGTACCGGCTTGAATTCATATACTCTCTGTGAATATTAAGTTTATTGACGCACGATTAGTCAATATAGCAAATATATGCGCGCGGAAGTGAATTACAGATGATTAAATTTCTAAAATTCTGAAACCTGGCCGGTACGGGAGATTACGGTACGCATATATTTGCTAATATATTGACTAATCGTGCGTCAATAAACTCAATATTCACAGAGAGTATAGCTAAGACATGTGTCTATTGGATACAGTGGCGCCTCCAGAAAATTATTCCAGGGGTGGCCAGTGGGGGCCACAGCAAATCTTAGGGTGGCATCTAAAAAAAATATGCATAATAAAAATTGTCTTAGGGGTGGCAAAGAATGATTTTGGGGTGGCAGTAGCCACCCCTCGCCACCCCATGGTGGCGCCACTGCCTGGATATAGACACTCCCTTCTAGGATAGTGTTGCGATTTCTATGGGTCCGAGCATAGAAATAGATAGATAACCTAGAATGCTGATTTGGTCTAACGCGTAACCCAAAGTTGCGCAGCACGCGAGAGGGGATGTCTGGGCGGCCGCTCCCAGAATTTTTTAAAATTAGACCCCCTCAGATCCGTTTTCTGGGCCGAGCAAAGGGGGTC